TCCTTCGACCCACTCAATATCTAGTCCATTTGAGAGTCTTTTTGACACAAATATCAGTTGTGCTCTGCCTTCTCCTTTACATCTTTGTTCAATGGAACTTTTGGTTCACCATGCCCTCTCGACTCAATCACTTGCTGCTTGCGAGGTTCTATCGCTTTTCCTGATGTGGTCCTCCATGACTCCACTGGTCCCTCATGGTCATATCCATATTAGATCCCTTCAATGGGCACTTCACGAATGATGGAACCTTGCTCAGAATCCTCTTTCCACCACCATTTCCCTTCCTACTTCCATGCAAGATGATCTGCAATGGTGACTGGACAAAGCCCATACATCTGCAGGCATGCTGCTTCCTCCCCAGCATCCAGATGTACATATTTTCACAGATGCATCCCTTCAGGGATGGGGGCATGGTTCAATCACCAGGAAGCTTCAGACCATTGGTCTGCAGACGAAACCATCTTGCATATCAATGTTCTCAAGCTTCTAGCAGTATATCGAGTGTTGCATCCCTTATTTCTTCTCACCCGTCATTGTCTGGTGATGGTTCATTCGGATAATTCTACGGTGGTGGCACATATTAAACACCAGGGGGGCACCCAGTCCAGAGATCTATGTTTTTGGATGTTGGATCTATTATACTGGGCCCAGATACATCATATTTGCCTTTTAGTATGTCATGTGCCGGATGCTTTCAATCTAGTCACGGATTGCCTTTCACACCCCAACCAGATATAACCAATGGTGTGGACATTAGATCCACATGTTTTCAGGGATCTTTTCCATTGGTAGGATTCTCCCCACTTAGATGCCTTTGCCATAGGCCTCAATACCAAGTTGCCCCTCTTTTGGTCACCTGTACAGCATCCACAGGCTTTGGTGGTCAATGACTTCAGCCAGGATTGGTCACATAAATATCTTTATGTGTACCCTCCCATCTGATTGTTTCATTGGGGAATTTCTCATGTCGTTTCCTCCTGACTGCTTCCAATTTGCCAGCTCAACCTTGGTTTCCAAGGTTACAACATCTGTTCCTATCACCACCTGTCCGTCTTCCACTTTCTTCCTCCCTTTTTTGTCAACCTCGATCCCACATTCTACATCCCAATCTCCACATCCTGCATCTACGTGCCTGGCTTTTGTCCAGTACTTGGGGAGATGATCCAGTTGCAAATGTCGAATCATTTCCTTGTTAGCTAGTTCCATATAGCCATCTTCCATGGAAGATATATATTAGCTGTTGGTTTGCTAATGGAGTTTCCTGCTGACAAACCTTCTGTGGCTCATGTGGTGGAATTTCTCACTTAGCTCTTCGGTCTCCTCATTTTCCGGATATCGGGCAGCCCTATTCCATACCGTTAGGCTTTTACTTTCCCTGTCCTTACCATACTCATGCATTCCTTCCAGATACATCAACCTCCCAGGCATCCTGCCTTTCTGGATTGGGACATTAATGTGGTCCTCCATGCCTTTATCTCTGTTTGAACCACTTTCCTCATGTTCCTTGTTTAATCTGTCCCTTAAAACATGCTTCCTGTGGATGTTGATGGTCAGATTTGTATGCCATTGATGTTTCCGATACCCTTTATCACCCTATCTATCTTCTATTTTATCCCGATTGTTCCTAAGACCTTGGCAGCTTGAGAGGATTATTCATCCTTTTCTCCTATTTCCCTTCCTTCTATATCCCACCTTTACCCTTGACTGGATCTGGATAGGCTTCTGTGTCTGGTCAGGGCCTTTTATTGTTACATAGCACATACTGCTACCTTTCGTGGTACAAGCAACCAAATTTTTATTCCATGGCAATCCTCCTCCCTTTGTGATCTTTCACCTTCTACCCTTACAAATTGGGTCTGCCTTTTGGTTCATTTGGCCTATTCTACCCTACCTTTTTCCTCCCATACTTTGTTCCAAGTTTCCTCCCATCAGTTCAGACATCTCACTTTTCCCTTGCTTCTCATCTTCATTGACCAGTGGAGGAGATTCTATGGTCCAGCATGTGGACCATAGAACATAGAAGTACATTCATCTCCCACTATCTTCATCATGTCATACTTTCCTCTTCGTTTTGGGTTTTGTGTACCACCTGTGGCCATTCTCCAGACTTTGGTGCAACTTTAACTGGTAAGTTTTATTCATTCTTTCTTTTTTCAGTGCCTTTTTATCACATAGATCCCACTCTGTGGCAAGTGGTGCATGATCGGGTATTCTCTAACTCTAACTCTGCTCTGTACAGCCATGTTGATTCACACTTTATTTTCCGTGGCTTTGTATGCTTACTGTCGAGATGGGGTGTTCCACAAGATCACTTGACGGTGAATAACCTTGCTATATTTTGGTTCATATACATGCCCAACCTGGACCATACCACCCATGGACTGCATGGGTAAAGCAGTAGGGGATTGCTGCCCATTCCTCCCATGCCTTGAGTGAAAAACTTGGTGATAACATTCCTTTGCACTCTCCACTGCATTGTCACCCTCGTTTCCTTGAATGGAATATGGGACTCCTTACCACTTTCCAGTTCCAAACCGCTGGGGTGGCTGACCATGGAGGTACTTTCTTGAATGAGTTCCACAAAGAAAGGGTTAGAACATTCAGTTGAGAGAAGGGTGGTGGTGTTCTGCTGGTGTAGATGAGGCATGGCCTCCAGAGGAGTTGACCCTTCACCTTGCTGGATGATTACACAACAACTGGAGTTGAGCCATCTCCTTTCTGGAAGATGTGGCCTCCTAATACCATTTAACCATTTACACAGCCACAGGAGTTGAGCCGTCACCTTACGGGGATGATGTGGCCTCCTGATTCCATTTACACAAACACTGGAGTAGAGCCGTCACTTTACTGGATGACGTGGCCTCCTGATAACATTTAAATAAACACTGGAATTGAGCCATCAAAATGCAGTCCACTTTGATTGGGAGACCTCATCCTTACCCCCGCGTGGATGTCAGTACCCCATGAAAAGGTTATGGATTAGAGTGAACCAATCACCATAAGTACTCACACGAGCTCAGGTTGTCTATCATCCTTCTACAATTACTCCGCCTTTGTCTTCGGTCACAGTGGTGGTATGTGAGATTGTTATGGTTCTTTCCTTGGCTATCCCTCATTCTCTTCTTACAGGGATGTTATAGCCTTTGGATGGTGCTGACCTGTGCCATGGTTGGGAGATTTGATTCCATGCAATAGACATCCTTTCGATCCCGGACGTCAATTCCAGAATCGATAGATCAGTGATGATCCTCATCCTACTCTTGTGTGGATATTGGTACCCCCACGAGGAGGTTTTGTATGTAGTTGACTTACCGAGTATGGTCTGCCTCGTCCTAGTTACTCTACACCTCTCAATTTCTGCCTTTATGTCTTATACATTCCACACATGGGCAAAGAGTATACCTGGTTCAGAAGTGGTGCGGTTCCCCTCTTCTGGTCTTCAGATCTGTATCTCTCATAAGGGGTATTCTTAGGATGCTTTCAGGGATAGTTCTTAAATTTTCTCACACCAGTCCCTCCTCTTTCTCAATGTGGGATTATAGCTAATCTTGTGAGAGGAGGTAGGTACCTTATCAGCAGCTATAAGCATGATGATTTACATGAGAGACATGTTGGAATATAGTAATTTAAATGGGAGAAGAGTGGAAGGCTTGTGGCATGCATAAAGAAAAAGTTCACATATAGTATAGAGGACAGCATTCAACGAGAATAGCTAATCTCGTAAGGAGGAGGTAAATACCTATCAGAAATACATTTTCAGTACAGGAAAATTATAACTTTGGATGGGAATAACCTTACCAGTGTTATGAAAAAAAGGAATCTTGGTTTTGTGATTGATCAGTCTCTTAAGCCATCCAAGCACCGTGCTGTTGGTAGTTGTAGGACAAATAGGATATAAGGTTGTATCTACAAACATATTGAATACAAGTCTAAAGAGATTATAATTTCATTGTATAGGTCACTGGTTAGGTCACATTTGAAGTATTGTGTTCAGTCTTAGCTTAGCTTAGGAAGGACATTTAATTGTTGGGAAAGGTTCAGAGGAGGGCTACTAGAACAGTGCCTGGGATGGAGGGGTCATCATACGAGGATAGGTTAATAAGTTCTCTGAAACTGTTTTCTCTTGAAAAAAGTAGTGTTAGAGGGGATCGATTGAGGTGTTTAAGATTGTTAAGGGAATAGAACAGTGCCTGGGATGGAGGGGTCATCATACGAGGATAAGTTAATAAGTTCTCTGAAATTGTTTTCTCTTGAAAAAAGTAGAGTTACAGGGGATCGATTGAGGTGTTTAAGACTGTTAAGGGAATTGATAGTGTTTATGCATCATCTTTTTTCATACTTAATTGTGAAAATGGTAGGACTAGGGGACACAAATATAAACTTTGGCAGAGTAGTAGCCATCTTCAGATAAGTTTTATTTTTCTAACAAGGTGGTTGGCCTTTAGAATGGGTTGCCTTAGGATGTTTGAGAGGTAGTAAATTTATGTGAGTTTAAGAGGAAGCTTGGTAATTATAAATGATAAGGGCTGGCTTTGAAGTTTGTCTGTTTTTAATAGTTTTAGTTTAAAGGATGGAACAGCCTAGATGGACCAATAGGTCCCTTATTGTCCCTAAACATTGTTATTTGTCATAAAATAAGCTATATTCTGGCAGATTTACAGGAAATACAACATAATCCCAGATTTAACTGGCTAAAAACAGTTTAGCAAATGTGCTCTGATCCAACCAAAGATAAAAACAATAGAACTCTTTAATTTTGGGATTGATTGATATCTGTAAACAAATAATTTATAGCTTTAATTGAACAGCTTTATCTAGAAATGCTTGTCAGTAGTAACCTTAACTGAACAGCCAAAGTAATGTTAGTGAAATGAACTTGTTCTCTGCTAACCAAAGCTTAGTCTTGCTATTAATCTTTTATGGTTTTTTTGCTATATGAAACACTTTAGGTTTTAAAATATTTATAGTTTTATTGTAAGTTTTTCTTTTGTGTTTTTTAGAGCTTTGATGAAAAAATATTGCAGACATCTTCTGGTAAAATAACAGAAAAACGAAAGAAAGATATCTTCAGGAAATTAGTGTCGGATATAATTGGTGTAAGTAGTGCTTTTTCTGATTTTGGAATTATTATATTCTTAGCTTATGTTTCCGTTACCTAGACACTAACAGCTAAAGAAAGAAAATTAATATATGTACTGTTAGTAGAAAAATGGATCTAATGTTTCCTGTAAGTGTGCTGAGATTTCCAAATACTTAAACAGATAATTAGTGTCATGTTTAGGGATGCAAGTTTTACCAGTTTTATGCTTTTACTGTGTGTGCTGTAAAACTTTAGTACAATGAGATATCACATAACAAAAAATTGATATTTGTCATTACTTGGCAACATTCTGTTGCTAGACACATAACTTTGTATCATGCCATAGCTTATTTATGTAGTACATCTCTTGCCACTTGTATTGCAAGTGGTAATATGCAGCAAGCATGCACAGTCAAACATTTATTTCAGAAATATAATAGCTGACTACCAGCATTTGACTAGGGCTACCAAATTTCACATTGTCAACCCTTAAAATTGGTAAAAAGTTTAAAGTTAATTTGTGACCATCTTTTGGTATAAAAGAAAGTCTTCATTTTAGTATAGTTCCCTGCCCCACCAATTTTTAAAATATACAAATTTCTCCACCCCCACCCTAAATTAAATCTCAAATGGTGTCACTGCTCTTGGTGAAAAAGAAAAGTTTGCTTCATTTGTCTGAAAAAGCTATGTAAACATTTCGGAAATACATTAACTTTGAAAGGATAAGTATTGACTTGGGAGAATATATCATTAGATAGAATGATATAATAATATTTAAGCATTGTTTAAATTGCTTACTGTAATTTAAATAGTTTCACTTGAAATTTTATCACATACTTGTTTATATCAATTACTGCACACAAACTATTTGTGTCACTAATGCTTATTTTATTATAAATTGCTTTTTATTAAATATAAGTTTCAGTATACCTATGTACCCTTAAAAGAAACTTAAATCTTTATTGTGTTAACTTCAAAGTACATATAATTTGTTATTGAAATAGTTAATTTTTTCTTATGTTGGAGAATTATTGGGAAACAGTTTCAAAGAAACAAAAGTTCAAAATTAGAACTAATATGTGTTAATATTTTTAATTCTAGACAAATATTGGACAACAGTTTAAGAAGGAAGTTCATATAAAGAATTTACCACCATTGTTCTGTTGGCCTCGTAAAAATAACCTTCCCTTAGATGACTTGGAAAAATATAACATGGGGTTATGTGAATTATTTCAACCTGATCAGCAGCAGAAGAAGAATGCATTCTCAACATCATAGTCATAATCTTTGTCTCAGATTTATTGGAATTTTACAAATCAACATTTGTATTTCAGCTATTTCAACTTGTGTAAAATGTCATCATTTCAATCATCTTTTGTCTTCTAAAATCACAAAATTCCTCATGCTTGCCAACAAGGCTCATTCACAGTTGCAAACTATAAGTAGTATAGATTTATATTACTAGTACCCATAAAGTAATGGCTTTACATTATAAAACATGAAATACTGCACATATAATCGTGTATAAAAATGGAATATGTGTGAATTCTCCTAGTTTTACAGCAAATTTTTAATTTTTTTCAAGACATTTTATTCCTCTAAATATTTTCACCAGTAAATCTGTCTTTCATTTAGGTCTGTAAAAGTCAAAACTACTTATTCAACTATCTTTTATATGCACATCAGCTTTTACCAGTAACTTTGGTAATGAAGCATTTATTTGAAGTAAGTTATTGAAATTGTCAAAGTTTTCATTAGTTTGCAAAAGCTGGCCTGCCTTTGTGACATTCTTTTTCAATTTTGTTATCAAGATGTTATGTTTCCTGATTTAACAAGGAAGATGTATATTTTCAGAATTCGTTTTCTTTAATGAAATACATACAAAAATATTCCTTAATTTAATGATTATGTTAGAACATCTTCAGTTAAACAACTAGAGATCCAAAGGTGCTTTTATCTTACCTTGTTTGCATTTCTGATAAAAGTTTAGTCAAAATTCATTGAAAACAATATACAATTAGTCAGTCTTAGTATTCCTACTAATCAAGCTTGTTTCAGTTTATATAACTAGTTTGTAATGAAATAGTTGCTTAACTGTGAAAATGGTTTAATTTATATTAAATGTCTTCCTTGTTCTTTTCCAAACGTTCAAAGATGTAGGGATCCAAGCTTCCCACAAACCTTAAAAGTTGCAAAGTGGCTAATTAAAATTAAAACTGAATGCTTACCATTCCCACAATCAGTGTTTAACAATAAGTTATTTCTTCAAAGATTTTTAACAAATCTTTGGTTTTAAAATTGAGAACCAGTACAAAGCCAATCAGTTTTTCTGTATTATTTCATGATATTCTGACACAATCTGTGTTTATTTTCAAAATGCAGTCTTTAACAATGGTGAAAGACTGAATTTTTGTATTCATATTTTTCACTTTTTATGTTTCTTAACTTTTTCTTAATTGTAAGTTGTATTTGCTAAATAAATAGAGTTGTGGATACCAGTTTTGTAAAGTACACTGTGTTCACAACTGTAATTTACATTAAAATATAAGCTCAACAACAAAAAATTTGACAAACTTTAAAACAGTTCTTTATTTGCAAGCTGTTTAGGTGTGTTAAAAAACATTATGTAACAAATATAATCTTAAAAGATTTGATTTCTTTAGAAGTTCTTAATTTAGTAAATATGGAGTCCATATGAATTAGTAATTTGTTTTGGTATGAGTACAGGAGTTTCTGAATGATGAAACAATACAAAAATAAATGTTTCATGTATTTTAAACTTTATCAGTTCATATTTTTAGTGCTACTAGCATTTACCATTAAAAATGTCTTTTTTTTTTCTGTAACAGAGCTTTAAATTAAAAATACAGGAACCAGCTGACACATTTTCATTAACCCTATGAGCATGGGTGGGGGCCAAAATGCAAAGGTAACAACCTTTTTGAAAGTGTCATTTAATGTGTTGGTATTTATTTGATGTTAGAATTATCAACCATTAATTTTAACTTACAATGCTAATTTAGTGACCGTTTGTGGTAGAGGATAGTGAGTACCAGATACAATATACAGGGATACTGAAAAAAAGCTGTAGATACACATTTGGAGGTTCTAGAGGTTGTATAAATACAATATGCAAACTGAACTATGAACAAAAGTATTTTTATTCTTTATATGAAGATCAATGTTCACTCTTAACTTGTCAGAGCCTGAGTTAAACTGACAAATGTAAAAATCCAAAGTTTTCGTGTTATATTTAAGATACAATAGAAAATTATACTGTGTTCAAATAAATGAAAATAATGTTTTCTTTGAAAATTTCATTAACTTACATATGTATTTATGTCAGTGTTACTTTTACACACTGTAGGATCAATTGCCAGAGATATATGTATATACGAGGTCCTTGAGAATGTCTTTAGTTCCTGGAGAGATCCATGAGATCAAAAAGAAGTTGATAACCACTGATACAAAGATTTTAATGTCTTAAATGTGATGAGAGTTGTATTTCATGGTTTAAATAATCAAAGCTATCAAGGTTTCCTAAACCATATTTATAAGTTTTGATTATTTTCCTAACAGAGTGTGACTGTAAATCTTTGATTTATCCCATATAGTTTACTGTTCCAAGGTTTGATTCATTAGCTAAACTGGAAAAGGTACTTATAATGTTAAAAATTGGGTTTCAATACCCATAGTGAGCAAAGCACAGATGGCCCATTGTGTAGCTTTGTGCTTTATGACAAACAAACAAGAAATAACTAGGACCAAGTGGATACAATGTTTCATTGCTGAAAGAAAAGAAGCTACACAGTTGTGAAATATGAATGTCAGCACAAAATGATAAAACTTTACCAATCCTTATTTGAGCTTGTGTCAATCCAAACCTTTTAGTCCTAACTGAATGGCAATTTGTAGACACTGCTATTCTGTGAGCATTCAACTAGAATCATTGTTTATGTATGCTAATCTAATAATATATAACTTTTGCCACAGTATCCCATTCTCAGATGGTTTGGTTTTTTAGGTTCATTGTTTTGTTTAGATTTGCATAGCCCTAACAGGTAAAAACACCTTTTCATCCTTTGTACACAGAAAAATTTTACAGAGTAAAATTACAAAATCCTAATTATTAATTCTAAGGATTAGAATTTTATAAAGTGTATACATTTAAATATGATGGAATAAAATTTTAATCACTGTTTCTCCCTGCAGCATGAGATGAGGCACATACAAAATACATATATTGTAATTTTTATTTCATTTATGACTTTAAAATGATTCAAACCAAGTAAAAGAAATTAGCTATATCAAATAAGTACTGAAGTTTATCTTTTAATATTAAATTTCAATTAACAGCAGATCTACTTAAAAGCTTTACTAGTTATAATCTACCTAGGGAAACAACATGTAGATATATTACAATATTTCAAAGATAAAAATATTCTTGACATGTTCAAGTTACTCTCCAGCGTTTTTAAAGTATTTACATACGTGGAATTGCTATCACTTTATAGGGCTTCACAACACTGGCAGTGTTTTGAATGTTTAAACAAAATTCATTTTCTTGAGGTGTTGCTGTTATTCTGTAACTCTGTAATATTGTAGTGAAGAATAAGAAGAGCTCGATTTTAGCCAATGGTATCCCCAGGCATGCTCGTTTTCCTACAAAGAGTAATATAATGTGGATAATTATAAATATTCTGTTTTAGGCCATATTTAATTACGAGTCATAAACTAACCCTATAAAAATTATAACTTAGAGTTCAAAATATTTTTCCTCATTTTGTTTACTTTTTTTTTTCTGTTTCTAAAGATAGTTAGTGTTCCAACTACAACAGTGATACACTAGTTATAGAAGCCAGACATGGTAAGTGATTGCAGATTGAAAGGCCCTAACAGGTGTGGAACGTGATGACAAATCTACAGATGTTTATTTGCCATCTATCACAAACTGGGTAATACAGTACTGTGCAAAAGTGATAGGACAAAATAATATTTTGTCATTCTTTCCATGTTGTGGAGCTAATTTTTCCATGCCATTACAGAATGTAAATTTCAACACTGATAATGCTTCACTGATCCCTGTTGACAGTTGAATGAGCCAGGATGATAATATTTATCATTCTTTAGAATTCCCATATACTTATCACAAGGGCATACCATAAAGGTTCTGCTTGAATGAACATACTGATCATATATTAAGTTTTGTTGTCATGCCACAGCCCAAAAAGCATAGAGAATTGTCAGGAGAGCAGAGAGTTAGCATAAAAGTTTTACGTGATGCTGGTTGGTCTATCCGACAAATTCCTGCAGACTTATAATGGTTGGAGACGGCTTGAATGGGTATTGAAGAAACACTTTAATATAAGTTTAACATAACAGCAAATGTACAAGGTTTTGTCATCATCAGGTGCTGCAGACTTGAAATGCCCACTAAACACTGTCAAGTACACCCTAGATCATGAGACCGAGACAGGTAAATTTGAAAATAGGAAAGGAAGAGGCAGAACACCTAAACTCAATGATATACTGATGCTAAGAATCGTAGTTCGGGACAGGAGGAAGACTGCCACTGATCTCAAGCATGAGATAAACGACCATGTACCAAATGACAGAAAAGTGTCCAGATCTACATTATCAAGAAGACTCAATGAGAATGGAATATTTGGTCACGTAGCAGTTAAAAAACCTTTATTTCGATCTCGAAATATTATGAAGAGTGTTGGACTGTTGATGATTGGAAAAGGGTGTTATGGATGGATGAGTCCAAGTTTGAAATATTTGGTTCAAAACGTAGGTTGTACGTCCGGTGGAAGAAAGGTGAAACACCTCAATGCATAGCATTAATCATGAAACATGGGGGAGATAGTGTGATGGTTTGAGGGTGTTTTTCAGCTGATGCATTAGGAGATATTTGCAGGATAGATGGAATAATGGACCAGTGCAAGAACCATCAGATACTGATCCCTCATGGTATACTCGGTGGTTTGCGTATTATTGGTAACGGATTCTACTACCAAGAAGATAAGGACCCCAAACATTCATCCAACCTATGCAGAAATTACTTGGCTAAGAAAGAAGCTGCTGGAGTCATTCAAATGATGCAATGCCCCCCACAGAGTCTCGATCTCAACCCAATTGAGCAGATCTGAGATTTGATAGATCAAAACCTTGACAAATCCAAAATTATTCCAAAGAAACTTTATGGGAGTGTATTAGAGACATTTGGAGTAAAATCCCAAAGGACACTTTGATTAAATATTTTGCAACAATGCCTGAAAGACTGTCTGCAGTTATTAAAGCAAAAGGGACACACACAAAATATTAACTGCTTGCTTAACTTAAGCACTTCCATGGAGTTTCTGTTGTACTAAATATGAAGATTAATAAAATTCTGATGTTTCACCTGTGACTTACCTTCCATTACTCTTTGAAAATAGCCTGAAATCTAATTCTGGATTTTGTCCTAACACTTTTGCATAGTACTGTATATATATCCAAAACTTTTACAGACCTTGTATTTTAAACATGACGCTAGATTTTAAAAACAAACAGTATGTGGAGAAATATGTAGCTCGAAAGTATCCCAGTTTCGCTCGAAACAGAATTTAACTTCAGCTGCACGTTAATAAAGAGATTTTAGCTGTTAAGACTAATATATATATACTTAAACGTTACTGAATTGCCAAATATTTGCAATATATACAGCATGGTGGCTCTAGGGTACTTTGGGTGGTCATCCCCCTTGTGACAGTCCAGGTGTGATACATGAATCCAAGGCTCTAATACAAAAAATATGTATTTCTTCTTCTGTCTAAAAGAGAAAAAAATAACAGCAGCATTAGAAATACATTAACTTAAGATGCTAGTGTAAGTGAAAACTGATGAGAGCACGAACTTGTTCAGTAGTAGAAAGTATGCTTTGGTAAGGAAACACTATATATTGGCCACACACAACAGCTGCATTTTGAATGTAAGTGTGCTACGTAAATAGTTCGCCTCATTTTCTGTACTCAACACTAGCTGAAATGCATGTAAACAATCGTGGCAATTAGGATCGTAATTCAAAGCAGATTTAACTAAAAACTTATGAATTATCTTAATGTTAGCACAATAACCATGAAACTTCAATAAATAAAGCAAGGGCAAGAAAAAAATATAAAAGCTGTCATGGAAATATTCATGCTCACGAAAGTTGTCACTATTATCAGGATATAAAGCATGATTTAGAAGAAGAATGTTCGAGGTATCTAGTAGGTTGATGCTTCCCATAGTTATAATAATATAATTTCATACTTCCACATTTTCTACAAAGTAACTTATTTAAAAAATCTTATGGTGACTGAACACTTACCAATACCAAAAGGGATGTAACCTTTCTTTTGGACAACTTTTCCATCATGATCTAGGAACCGTGAAGGAACAAATTTGTCAGGATCGGGCCACTCCAAAGGGTCACGATGAACGGTCCATAGATTTGCCAAGATAATGCTTCTTTTTGGAATAGTATATCCGTGAAAAGTTGTTTCTACTAATAAATGTAAAAAGCTATTGTTCTATAAATATCAGATTATGGTAGAGGTAGATAATTTTACATTGTAAATTCTTATAAAGAAAATTTATACTTTGACCTCTAGAAGTAAAATATACTTTACTGAATATGCAGTGTCAAGAACAACTTTATATATTAGGTCGTCAATAATTTAAGTCGCTTTTTTTAGATGAAAAACCCCGTACTTGTATATATGTGTGTGTAACTTATATATCAAAACATTTATTAAATGAAATAGTCTCCATTCTTATCGATGCTTTTCCATCTCGCAATCAGGTTGTTAATTCCCTAATTAAAGAAATCACTTGGCTTTGAAGCAAAAAACATGTCGATGTTCTCTTTAACACCTTCCATATTTGCATACGTTTTCCCATTAAGATGGTGTTGCAGCGAATGAAAAAGATGGTAATCTGATGGTGCCATATCTGGAGAATATAGTGGATGGGGGAGAATTTCCCAACTCAACTCCATGATCTTGTGTTGCGTCAAACGTGCCACATGTGGACGTGCGTTGTCGTGGAGAAGAACACATTTCCGATTGACGAGTGAAGGGCGTGTCTGATGAAGGGCCTGATTTAAACGTTCCAGTTGCTGGCTATAGATCTCTGTATCGACAGTTCGCTGTGGATTGAGGAGTTCGAAATGAATTACTCCTTTGATGTCATACCAAATGCAAAGCATCAATTTCTACGGAACGAGTCCAGGTTTGGGGGTCGGAAGTTGCTTTTGTCTAGGACTGAGCCATTGTTTTTGGCGTTTAATAATCGCATATAGAATCAATTTTTTATCACCGGTGACAATTCTGTCTAAAAATGGTTTATGCGCATTGCCAGAAGAGACGAAACAACGTTCGCACGTTGGAAACGATGATCATCGGAAAATTCGTGAGGCACCAAAACACCTTCTTTATGGAGTTTTCCCATATTCCTTAAATGTTTACGTATTGTTTCGTGAGAGACATGCAATTTCAGGGCCATTTCACGAGTGTGTTGCCTTGGGTTAGACTCAAGAAGCGTCTTCAGAGCATCAATATCAATTCCAACATGTCGGCCCCTGCCACCACAGTTTTTAAAGCTAAAGCCACCTGAACGAAATTTGCTGAACCATCGTTGACACTTACGAACGTTCAAAACATTTCCATAAACTTCTTTGATATTCTTTGCGGCTTCAGAGGCGTTATTTTCCTTCTTGTATTCAAACAGTATTACATGCCGAATGTGTCTCTCG